GAGTTAGCGGCTGCCCTGCCAGGTGCCCTCCTAAGGGCCATTTGTTCCCATTGTGGATGTGGCGCATGGTGTTCTCGTCTTTGGGACTGCTGCCAGCAGTAGCTGGCTGTGTGCCACATTTGCAGAAGACGGCAGGCTCCTCATGCTCATGACAGTGATGGAATCATTCAGTTTGGGGTGCACCGCCATCGCCATGCACAGCCATGGGGAGGCTGTGCCAAATCCACCTTGCTACGCGGATTGTTGCTGAACTTGGGATCATTCATATCGTGGTCTGACCAGAAGCCATGGGCGTGGCCAAAGCCAGCCACAAGCTCTTGAACATCTTCATCCAGAGCAGGCCCTCCCATCCAAGCAAGCCAGTCATGTGGCAAAAACAAAGCAATAGGTGTCATTTGCACAGACACAGCGCAGTCCACATTGCTCTTCACCAGCACTGGCACATCAGCTATGTATGGGCTTGGCAGGTGGTAGCTGCTTGTCTTGCAGTACTTCAATGTGATCTGCTCAGCAATATGCTGTGGCTGCCTGCCAAAGCTGGCTAGCTCCACAATGTCAGCGCCAGTTGCCCCAGATTTGGTAGCCAGGGCAACGCTTTGAATGGAAGGCCCCTGGGCTGCCACAAGCTCAACGCCAAACAAATGAAGCCGCGCAGGAAAGCCCACCAAAGCTGAACAAGGCCTGCAGCCAAGGTGCAGAAACTCCATTTGCAAACTGCTCTAGCAGGCAAGCAGCCGATGGGCTTAGTTTCTCAGCAGGCTGCTCTTGCACGACCTCATACTTCTTTCTTTTCCACTTTGCCATTGCTTCGCACAAGGGAATGGGGTCAAATGGAGCTGTGGGCTACAAGGGGGGGGGGTTGGCTACCCAGCACTGCTTTTTCCTTGCCGCCAGCCACTCAAAGCTACGAAGAAATGCACATGAAAACTGGAGAACTTGCTCGAGCAGAGCTGGCTCCTACTGCTACTTCTTCGCTTGCTGTTTGCTTTGGCGTGCTTCAGCCTACTCTTGACCTTCACAGAAACTCCTTGCATCAGCGCCACAGCAAAAAAAGCTGGCCTGCGCATCGCTACTATGAAAAGCTGCGAGCAAATTGCTGCAAGTCAAGCCTAATCTCTTTGGGTTGCCCTGCTTCCCAGCGCAATTCACAGTGCACATGCCCCCCTCCCCATGGCCCATAGCGCGTGCAGCATTGTGAAAACTTCGCAAGAACAGAGGGGCTCTCTTAAATGTCAACATGTGGCTAACCGTTACAAGCATGCGAAAAAAAGACCGTCTGGGAACCTGTTTGGAAGCCCTTGGGCAGAGCCCCCAACCCTTTCTGAGCACCAGCATGGCCTACACCTATATTGGTCAACCAACAGAAGCAGTAATGTGTGTTGCAGGGCAATGCTATGTTAGGACTTCTACGTGCAGTGGGCCAGCTCCATTGCGCACTCCGAAGCCTGAACATTGCCCAACGGCAATCCTGCCCCCAGCAGTTGCGCGCGCCAGCTAGCAAACCCAAATCCTCCTGCGCCCCTGCCTTGCGCTCCAAAAGTCTTTGCCATGCAAGTGATGGCAGTTAATGCTCCTGAACTGTAAGCCTGCCTAACTCAGCCAGCCGAAGCTTCTTGTACTTCTTCACTGCCACGGCTGCGTCAAAGAGGACGCCCTTCACAGTCTCCATGGAATTCTTCTTCTTCTCAAACTTCTCCAGCTCCTGGAGGCCGCTGAGGATGGCCGCCTGGTCACGGCTGCCTTCTTTTTTCAATTTCAGCAGCAGCTTCTTCATCCTGTTGATCCTGATGACAAGATCTCAGCCTCAGCTTCCTCAGGGTCTTCCTTCTCTTTTCGCCTTCCTGGCTGTTTGGCCCATTGCGCCAAGTCGAAACATTCTGAAGGCAGCTCCAGGATGTTGAAAGGACTGCGTGGATCATCCTCACTCTCTTCAGGGGAGCTGCTGTCCTCCTTCAGCAACTCAGTGAAGAACTTCTGCTGTTGGGAGCCAGTCTTCTTCTTCTTCTTCTTCTTCTTCTTCTTCTTCTTCTTCTTCTTCTTCTTCTTCTTGGCTGGCACCGTCATCCAGCTGTGCTGCAAATTTGGTGGCTGCCCACCACCCTTGCCAGGAGGAAAGCCACCGCCCCCACCCATCATGAGGTTCAATGGCATCATTCCACCAGCAGGCTGGCGCCGCATGAGGAAGAGCAAGCTTGCCACTAGTGAGATCATGCTGCAAACAAAGCTATCGCAAGACAAAAACAAGCATCAAATGGCTCAAGAGGCTGCCACGCACAGTGCTTGCACGCATGCGCAACGCTTCTACAGAAGCTGTCCCTCAAGTGCATATGCCATCAAGTTGCTGCCAAAGATGCAAAGCATGACTCTGCAGCCAAAGCCATGGAGCTGCAAAGGGATCACCTCTTGCCCTGAGCCGCTTGTGCAGGGCCCAGGGCATGAAACCCATCTCCCCAACAGATTGGCACACAACTGTTTGCTCACCCTCGCGCAAGCAAATGTTGTCATTACGTAGCTGTTTTCCCACTTGCAACAGAATGGTCAAAGCCTCCCCCCACCCACGCAAAGCTTTTCCTGTCTGTGGGTTGCCCGCTGCTGCCTCACCCTGCTAAGGCGAACTTGTCTGCCACGCACAGGCCCAAGGCCCCTGACCAGGCATCTTTACAGGACTGGCAAAAACTTGTCCATCTTGGACAACAACCATTTGGTAAACATCAGCGCCAAAAGCCTGCACTTCGCCATACAGATAATACCTGTAGAATCTGTCAGGAGAAATTTGCATTCTTTGCAATTGGCCAAGTGTCCAGTTGGACTTGCCAGCGCCCTTGGCCTCCTCATAGCCCTTGCGGCCCTTGCCCTTTTCATCCTGGGCAACATTGCCAGCACCAGGCTTGCCTTTGCCACTTGCGCAGCAGTGTTGGGCAAGCCGCCTTTCTTGCCCTTCTTGCCCTTGCCTGTGCTCCTCACGGGGAAGGCCCTATTTGACATGGCTCGAAAGAAATTGGAAGCCTTGAAAATGCTGCAGAGCTGCGTGGAACCATCAAGTTGCATGAGTGCCACATCCGTTTGCTGTTACACTTGGCTGGCCACAACAAATTGCACGCAAGCTCAGGCAGCACGAGTCTTTGTTTCCCAAATCCACCGGCTGCTAGCAAAGCAAAGGAAAATGACACATCAGGTAGTCTTGTGCTTTTCACGCAGTTTCTCCCTCGCAGCCAGCACGCTTGCTTTGGTGGCACCTGGCTTCTTGGCCACATCAAGAAGCATCTCGATGATAGCCTTGTCAGTCTTGGTGGTTCTCTGGGCCATAGCTGTGGTGCATCCAACCACAAGCTTCTTCTTGCCTCCAGAACCCGTCAATGTCCAGGGCTGCATCCTCCTGATCAAGCTTGGCCTTTCTGATGGGGCCTGCTTTTGCTTGCGGCGCGTGCGGCAGGCTTCTTCATGCCCTTGCGGGCAGTCTTCGCTGAGCTTGTGACAGAGTCTGCCCCGGCTTGCGCGGCCTTTTTACGCCACTCCTTCTTTATCGCAGGTGGCGGGCATTCATGGTTCTGCCAGTGTCAAGCCTGGTCTCTGAGCTGCCCTGCTGCCTTCAGCAAGGCTGGGAAGCCTTGTGAATCCATGAATCCATGGTGACATCAGAATCCCGCGCCAGCAAAGCTCTAGCTGGGCTGGGAAGCTGTGACCCCTTCAGCCAGGCGGGCTCGGCCCCCTTCAAATTGTATGCGTCAGTGTGGTGATGCTTTGCTTCAAGTACTTGTACTTGATTTGGGCAGTTGGGCTAGCCCCCACCAAAGCCTCCAGCAGCAGGACAAGCTTCAACTTATTGAAACGCACAAGCAAAGCAGGCTTATTGAAACACAAACCAATAAGGCTTATTGAAACAAACCAATATTCCTTACACTTCAGAAATCCTACATATTTCAATAAAAATGCTGTTTCAATAATGACATCAAAAATCAACAAAATTATTGAATCTTTTCAACAAGGCAGAGTCTGGGCATGATCTGTCCGGTCGACAAGGACCTCAACCCACGAGGTGAGCTCTTGCTGCAATTGGCGAAATGCAAAAACAACATCAAGGGGGCCAATATCGTTGGTCGACGCCTTGGTGTGGAAGAACAAAGGTGGGGAGTACGTGATCAAGAACGGCGCGGAAGAGTACTTCAGTCAGTGTGCGGTGATCATCAACCTGATTCAAGAACAGGCTCCTCGACCAATCATAATCACAATCAACACGACCGCCGACATCTTCGCGTTAAATGAACCCCTGAGGCGCTATGCGGAGGTGATCATAGCTGACGTCGATGTGTTTGCTCTCAAATACGGGGGCTTCCGAGACAAATGCCTTGCCGAGATTTGGGCACGTTTGCGGGGAGGACGTTACCGTTCAACGACGTTAGTACCCAATGCTACTTTTCTCACTAGGTTAGGTCCAGATTCCGCATTAATTCAACCGCTGCAGAATAGCAGTGAAGTTCAAGCGTTTCATGACGCAAAATTTGGTAGAACAAACAACTGAGAGTCGACGGATTTGGGTGTGCGTGTTAGTTAGCATTGGGGTGGACCCTAGATGAAATGTATAAGCCACAATTTCAATGCCTCTGCGCAGCTGTCTCAGAATGAGGCATAATTACTGCGTGAGCGGTGTGAATAGGACAAGGGCCACCGATGTGAAACACGCTACCATACATCCATGCAGCCGTTTGGCTCAAGGTTCAACTGTTAGCTTAGATCCATAACCTTGGCTGCGGATCATAGATGGCATAGACACAAAAGATCGAGCTTGCGGCAAGCGCTGTTCGAGGATATTCAAATTCCCGCACTCTATCTGGGGGGACAACACAACCTGTGTCGTCAGGGTATCAAAGAAACCCCTCGGTTTCTCAAGGAGAGTCCTTGCAGACTCACGCAGTAAGAGGTTTGAGATCAGAATGCGGAGAAAGTCGTGCCATTGCGTTTTGAGCGGATGCTTCTGAGCCGAAACAGCTCAAGTTTGGATCATGGCAAAGAGCCCATGCGATTCATACCCCCGTGTTCTCGAAGGGATCCTCTCCGAGGAAGAGGTCGAGCACTTCGTGGACCTGTATCGCAAGCTTGCTGAGAGCGAGTGGTTGAAACGCGAAAAAGTGGCAGCGGCTGAAGGCAAAAAACCACCACCCAGGGTTTTGGAGTACTTCACCATCCTGAGATACATCCAGAGCCAGGAGGACGCACGCTTGGACGCCACCATCCAGAAGATCCACAATAAGGCGCAAAAGCTGGATTGTTTTTTCCCCAAATAGTGTTTTATTTACACTAAGGGGTTCTTACGGTAAGAGTTAAGGCCTGGTCTAGATCGAGGCGCGGGCCCAAAGTGCTGGCCCTGTGCGTAAAAAGTTGTCTTCGGTGCGACAGTCTCGCACGAAATGGAGGTGCGGGCTCAAAGTGCTGGCCCTGTGCCTAAAAAGTTGTCTTCGGCGCGACAGTCTCGCACGAAATGGAGGTGCGGACCAGCGCGTGCGTCTTGTTGTGGTGCTGTTCGCATTTTGGTTTTTGCTGGCACGGGCAACAGTCTGGAGGGGCGGGCTAGAAGCCTCGTGCCAAACGCGCTTCTTTGAAGCAAAATCATTTTTTGCTGGCAGGGGCGTGTCGCATCGGAGGTGCGGGCTGCGACGCGGGGTCTGTTTTTTGAGGAAGCCTCGTGCCAAACGCGTTTTTTGAGACCAAAGTGCGTTTTTTGATGGCAGGGCCGCCGCGCGGTGATATCTTCTTGTCGGGTCAGGCTACGACGCTTGCACAATCGGAGCTCTAAAAGCCCTGGGAGTTGTCGCAAAAAGTTGTCTTGCGTACCTTTCTTCAAAACTGCGCTCTCGCTGTGGCGCCGCGCCGATCTTCGGATTTGTGTGTTGCCGCAGAATTCCATGGCCAGCGCAGCATTTTGTGAGACTGCCGTGCGTTTTTCGTGGCGGGCGCAGTGTGTTTTGCGCTGCTGCTCTAGGACGCGTGGCAGGCGCAGCATTTTCATAAACAGGGTCTGTGAGTTTCGTGGCAGGAGCAGTGTTTCACTCATTTGCAAGCTTTGAAAGACGAAAGTGCACCCTTTGCGGAGATCGTGCGTGTCGAAGCGCTCTCGCTGTGGCGCCGTGCGAATCTGTCTTGAGCTCGGCGAACCCTCTGCGGAGATCGCGCGTGTCGAGGTGTCGAGGCGCTCTCGCTGCGGCGCCGTGCGAATGTGTCTTGAGCTCGGCGAACCCTTTGCGGAGATCGTGCGTGTCGAAGCGCAGTCGCTGTGCTGCGGAGATTGCGCGTGTCGAAGCGCTCTCGCTGCGGCGCCGTGCAAATTATGTCTCTTGAGCACGGCCACTCGCGCTGTGTGTCTCGAGCTCGGCGAACCCTCTGCGGACATCGTGCGTGTCGAAGCGCTCTCGCTGTGGCGCCGCGCGAATGTGTCTCGAGCTCGGCGAACTCGCCCTCCCAGTAGTCCGGCCGTCGCCACAAGGCCGCGGCGAAGAGCTCGTGCGCTCCGGCACTCTCGCCTCAATCTCCTCCGTCAAGAACTCGTCAAGGCGCTTGAACGGGCAGTGGAGGGCCAGCCATTGCCCGTAGAAGCGGTCCCGGAGACGGGACACGCAGCCGGCGGCGACGGCCTTCTCTGCCTTGCAACTCTGCAGGCGGATTGGCACAGGATGGACTTTTCCGGAAGAGCAATCCAAGCAGCTGGAAACGTCATGATGAATATCACGAAAATCAGCTGCCACAAGCCGCATATTGTTGCTGCATGAGGGTCATAGCGCTGCCATGCAGGAGACATTTACCAGAACATCCCCAAGTAGCTGGGAACCGCAATGGATGATCGAAGCTTCCACTTGCCATCTTTGGCATGAATGCAGTCATAGTAGTGGGAAGCGGCAATGTCTGCATACGTGCCACCGCGTGGAATTACACAGTGATGTTGGCGCAGGCGCGCCACTCCTCCGATGCAAAGGGGACAAGGAGAGTGGACTCCGGCAAACTGGGCGGCAGACTTCACAGCGGCTTCATTGGAAATGAGGCTCCCTCTGCAACACAAGCCCATTGGCGGAATCCACACATCGTTCCAATTGGTGTACTCGTGGTTGGGAGGTGGATGCTTCTGCCATTTCGAAGGTCGGATAAGCTCCTCGTCTTTCAAGATGCCGATGGCGGAATTGATGTCGGTGTTGTGCGCCCAGAAGAACGGCGAGATCGACTGAGAGCGCAGGTTGTCCGGTAGTTTGCGGCGCGGCTCGAAGGAGAGGAGGATCCCGTACTGATTGTTCCTAGAATCTTTTTTGCTGAACATCACGCGCAACATCACGCACAGCTTCGCGCGCAACATCAAGCCACAGCATCACGCGCGCGAGAAGTTGACAGGAGAGATTGTGAAGCCTGATGCTAAGCTTGCTCATCAGATTTCGCAGAAGCGACGCTTGAGCAAGGGTACCGGTGTGTTTACGATCTCATCAAGTGGGAGAGGTGTCAGTGTTTATTTAACGTCTTTCTATGCTTCTGGGCCACCTGTCGTCAAGTTAGACCCAATACTATTTGGGGTCTCTTGCCGGGATACTTGTAGGGCAAGTAGTTGTTGGGGGGGGGGTTTAAAAAGACACTATAGGAGAACACTCACTTAGTCACTTTGCGGTGCTTTAAAAGACCATGGAGAGATTTTGGCCCAGGTGGAGAAATGCTTCGGCCCAGGATTTGTGATTGTGCAGGACTTCTGGTCGTGGAGAGCTGCGGGGAGCGTTGCAGCTGGGCGCATTCACGTCGACGGGGACTTCTGGATGACCAGCGCCCATGACGGTTTCAACCTATGGATCTTGCTGGACCACCGAGAAATGGCCTATGGCTTCAACATTTTCACCAAGGAAGACAACCCAGACTTGTACAAGCTGGTGGCGCCCGAGCGAGTGACTTCCATCCTTCCGATCCAAGAGGCCAAGCCTGGCATGATTTTCTCTGAGCCAATCCGACTTTGGCCTGGAGTCTTTGAGTGGGGTGCCTGGCGAAGCTTGGGCCAGAATCTTGGTTGCATCCTCTGCATTGTCTCCACCAAGTGGTTCCAACAAATCATCAACTTCGCCCAGCGAGCCAGCGTCCTTCCGGCACCCGCCTTCCGCCTGCTGATCTCACTGACAGGCCAGGAAAAATATTTAGTACCATAGTACCATGGAACTCATTTGGTGAAGAAAGGCCGATGCGTATCGTGGAGGTTGCAATTCCAGCTGGTTAGATTGGAGCCCGTACCCGAATCCCAACCAAGCCTGAAGGATCGCACCTTGCACAGCTTTTGTCCGGTCAATGTGAAAGCCGCGCACGAAGCTGCGAGGCTGGCTGGGGAATTTGTCGCTGCTACCGAAGGGCCTGGAGCTGCGGACTCGGAAGTTCCCACTGCAGGCAGGCAAGACATGTCAAGACCCCATCTTACCAAAAGAGACAAAACCATTGGTAAAGAGCATTTTCCCCTGTACTCGCTCCTTGTCCTGAGTTCTTGAGTTACATTCCATGTGTTAAGCGATACATTGGACAAAGGACCCCTTTGTTCTTCGGCGAGCCGAGGTGGGGGATGCTCTGGTGGTGCGCCAGGACGAGCTGCATGTGTCCGACCAGGAGCCCGTGAAAGACCACCAGTTCCGCTTGGCCGTGGGCTTCAAGTTCATGAGGCAAAACCAGAAGGCCGAGTCGGAAGCGAGCTAAACTTCAACTCAATGCGTCCCAAAGTCTCCCATGCTAAAAACTTGTTGGTGGCAGGAACTGGTCCATAAAAAAGTCACGGTGCCATTGGGTCTGAAACGGGTCTGTGCTTTTGGCGACTTCCGCAGAGTCAAGCATGCCGTCTGACGCAACATGACGCAACCCCAGCATCCTTCGAACCCAACCGCTTTCTCGCGTTCTACTTCCGGTAAGAATTGCAGGTTTTTTTCAACCCAGAGTTGCGCAAGGAGTTTTGGCCGTGCCAATGGGACAAATGCAGAGCGCGATTGCACGCGCGCCCGCAGAAAGTACGTTCACAATGTTGAGCAAAGCAAACTGCTGCATCTTGCCGCGCCATGTTCAAAGGCCGAGGTTCGCCACTGTTGAAACCCCGGACACGAAAATTCAAGTTTGGGATGGCAGCCAAAAGTACGCAACGGGCTCAACATTTAAAATCCGGAAGGATACGCGGCCACGCATTTTGCCAACACTTCTGATACCAGACAAAGTACGCAGAGAGTTCACCTCAGATGGGTGCGTAACTCGGACACGCCACTGAGGAGAGTTCAGAAATTATGCGGAAGGTTCAAGATCTTGATGATCTTGATGATCTTGATGATTTTGATGTCTTGACGTTAGCAAGCTTTGTGTCTTGTCACGCCAACTTGGAAAAACATGAGCTAGACATTTCTCCGGGCGGGAAAAATCATCCACCTAATGAAAGAACATGAGCTAGACATTCTTACCCTGCAGGAAACCAGGTCAATGTAAATTCAGTGGAAGTTCATGATGGGTACACTTTTACTTCTCCACAAACATAACGCACGATCAGAAAGCACGCGCTGACCAAAAACGGGAGCAACACAGACAGCAGCCACAGCCCAGCCTTACAGAAATCGAGCTGTACAATCTAGATGCTGAGAAGCACGGAGTAGCAATAGTGTACAGTCCGCAGCTAACGGCGCACAAGCAGAATGTCCGACAAGTGAATGGCAGAACGCTACTTGCGACTTTTAATACATACCCAGTCAAAACCAATGTGGTAGCAGCGTACGCCCCACATGCAGGACGCAACGAGCAAGAAAAGGATGAATTTTACAGCCATCTTAATCACGTTGCTGCAGCGTTGCCAAAGCATGAGATAAACATATTCATGGGAGACTTCAACGCGAGACTTACGGAGCAGCTAGGCCACGAAAGCAATGTCATTGGTCCCCACATTTTCCGGAACGACACGGACAACATCAGCCAACTCAGCGTCAATCAACAAGACAATAGGTTTCGGTTCACGTCATTCTGTCAGGAGCATGAGTTGGTGGCGACCAACACATGGATTGAAAAGCCATTGGCCAAACTGATTACACACCGCAATGCCGCAACACCAAACTACACACCTCCGTTTACGACTGACCGCTTTGGGCAAATCGATTACATCCTTGTCAATCACAAGTGGAGAAACGCAATTACAAATGTGGAAACAAGCTCGCGACACGCAGTTAGCACTGACCACCGCCTGCTGATTGCGCTGATCCGAGTCAAGCTTGCCAGAACACAAAAAAGACAGTGTCAAAAGACACCCAGATATAGACAACCCACAGTGGAGCAACTGACGCACTACAATGACCATGTGCAAGAAATGCTCCAAGCGTACAATAACATTGACCAGTCTGACGCCTTTCAAATCTGGGCAAAAGTGATACACACCGCAGCAAACGAAACGTTCACCCGCGTCCCCCCATCCCAAGAAAAGAGGTATATTTCCGAAGAGACTTGGCAGCTACTGCAAGAGAAACAAGCAAAAAACGAAAACAATCAGCGAAATGAGGCTCAGACACTGGAAAGGCAAATCCGCAGGCAAGTGCGCATAGACAGGCGGAAGCACATCAAATACCAACTTGAGGAAATAGACGCGCAAGGCTACAAATGGAACGGGCTCAAAAGACTACGGAAAAAGTTTGTGCCAAGACATTCTAAGTTCAAAGATAAGGATGGCAATTACATTACGGAGGAAAACTTTGTTAATGCTGCGGCGGAATACCTGTCCAGCGTCCAATGGAAGAAACCAGAAGGCCACGAACCGGAACAACCAAGTCCGTTATCGCACGTGGGAGCACAGGTCACGGCCACCGAATGGGAGCCCCATGAATTGGACACTGCCATAAAGAATTTAAAAGCCAACAAAACGCCAGGGCCAGACGAAATCACACCGGAGCTGCTGAAATGGCTGAGCAGTGTCAATAGGGGGCGCCTGCTTTCGCATTACAACCAAAGCCTCATGCACGAGCGGTACCCTGATTCCCTTAACCATGCAAATGTCGCTTCGATCTATAAAAAAGGAGATCCATCAAAACTTAGCCAATTACCGACCCATTGCTCTGCTGCAGACCTTTTACAACATCTTAGCGGCCATGACCAAGATGCGACTGGAAGAAGCGCTGGAACCATGGCTACTCAAAACACAATATGGTTTTCGAAGGAAAAGGTCGATAGCGCAGGCAATCTTCTTGGCTAGGCGACTTATGGATATTGCGGAGAGACAGGGTACCAATTTGACACTAACGCTACTGGATTGGGAAAAAGCTTTCGACAAGGTCGACCAAAGCAAACTAGTAAAGGTGCTCCAACGTCTGTGCATACCAGAGCGCATGGTAAACCTCGTACGAAACATTTATAGATACGCGCAGTTCAGAGTTGTCCAGGGTGAGCACAGCTCAGCATTCCATAGGCACGAATCTGGCATACGGCAGGGCTGCCCCTTATCCCCTTATCTTTTTGGCATAATTATGACGGCCATTTTCCAAGATATAGAAACTGAACTTAACACGCCGAAGCAACTACAACCCATCCATGGTATCAACTATGCCGAAGTCCTATACGCGGACGACACTTTACTGTTTGGAACGCACACGCAAACAATAAACAAATTACTCCGGCAAGTCCAAGTGGAGTCTGCCAAGTACAACTTGGCGCTGAACTTTGAAAAGTGCATTAACCTGACAATCAATCGAAAGCAATCCTCGGTAAAATTCATGAATGGCGCGCAGGTCCCTCGAAAAACACAAGCCACATATTTGGGCGCCACCTTGACAGATGCCGTAGACAATCACAGAGAAGTTATCAAACGAATCGGAGAAGCCGCAGCAGCTGCCAACCAACTACGGATTGTTTGGTCACAAGCTCGTACCACTATCGCTTGGAAAATAAGGGTCCTAGACAGTATTGTGATAAGCAAATTGCTTTACAGTCTTGAAACAATACAGCTAACAAAGGGTGAACAGAATAGGCTAGATGCCTGGCAACATAAAATGCTCAGGCGAATACTGAATGTGCCACCCACGCATCTGGATCGAACATGGACAAACCAAAGAGTCGTAAACACGCTAACGCAGGCACACAACTACACGCATGTGAGCCTTTCAGCAAAATGGAAATCTAGAAAACTTACGTTGCTCGGGCACATACTCCGAGCCACAAGTGCTGACCCCATGAGAGAGGTCCTGTTCCACCCGCACACCAATATTCCGAGACAAGAACATATCAGGCGCGTAGGAAAACAAAGAGCTCATTGGCTGATTGAAACCTTGCAAGATGCATACAAGCACATCCATCCGGACCGAGTGTTTGACACCAACAACCAAGAGCAAATCAACATGCTAGCCGAGAGAGCAAGCGCCAGGGCTGCCCCGTTCCATGCAAGAGGATGAGAAGTTCCAACGGAGAGGGAAGAGTCGAGAAACACCCAGTGATGTCGAACTGTCATACAATCTGTCACCGAAGATGTCAACGAATAGGGACTGCGAGAGACTTCAACTGCGTAGGGGACAACTGTGGTTCAACCTTTTCCTTTTACGGAGAAAAACCTCTGGCCTGCGGCACTGGTCACGGTACAGTTGCAGTAGGGTAGCGCTCAGCTCTGCATCGAGCAGCGCGTGGCAAAAAAAAAATGCCAACTTGGAAAGTTCCAAGCCGCCTGGTCGCTTTTCCAACGTAGCCTTCTTCGCGACCATGGCTGTTCCATGCTTGTTCTAGTAATTTGCTGCGCGCGCCTTCTTATTCTCACACTCGACACTATCCGATATTCAACTGTTCGCATGACGGAAGTGTTCAACCCAAGATTGGACGAATCAGCGCTTTCTCGTTCTCCGAGCTGCGACTGGTTGATACGCCCGGCTGATTTCTGATTTCCTGGTTTCTTTCGGGTTTCACGGCCCGCCTTCTCACCTCTTGACAGGTGACGCAGTACGTTTTCACTGGCCCAGCCTCCAAGGCGCGGCGGCGCTTTCCCTCGTTGCGACTTCCTTATGGAAAGGCCCTGCCCGACCTGTATCGGATGAAGGGTGTGGACATGCGCCAGGAGGACGCATATCTTCTTTGTTTTTTTTAGGGAAAGGAAAAACCATCCGTTTGAACAGTGCACATTTGCTTTGCGGCAAAGTTATGTAGGATATATTTCGTTCGGCACTGCCTGAGGAAACTTGGCTCCAGCGGTGTTTGAACTTCAGCAGTTTGCGGCTCAGCTCCTGAGTCATTGAGTTTGCGCCGGAAGTTTGGAAAGGAGCGGAGCTGCTTTTGGGGTTGCAAAGCTGTCTGGTCGCGCTTGAGTTTAGGTCTGAGTGTTAGACGCTTCTTTCGGCCATTGGCTCAGACTGACTCAGATGCCGTACTTTGCATGGGCTCATTAGGATGAGCGCTCGGGCGGTCTTGTTGACAGCACTGCCCGCTGCACAAGCGTTTGTCCAGGATGCTGAAACTATATTTTTGCAGGTTGAGGTGAAAGTGGCCACTGCATTGGCAGAGCTGCCAGCGGAGATGATTGCCCCCGGTTTCAGGGCCCAAGCAGTGCGTTCGCTGCTGTCTTTGGCCACTCTTTGCGCGGTGCTTTGGTGCGTGGAAATGCTGGGCTTGAGCTGCTCAATTCGGCGATCGGGGCAATGGGTGTATGTGGGCAGTTGCCTGCTGGTGGCCATGGGCCAAAGTATGCTTCTCACAGTATCCCTGCCATTGGCCACAGTCCTGACCTACTCTGCTGCTGCTTCGGGGTTCCTGGCCTCCACCACAAGTTTGGGAGGTCTCCTTGCACAGCTGTTGGCAGCAAGCTCGTGGTCCACCTTGGGATGTCAACCATACTGGCTGCTGCGCAGCAGCATGGTGGCCACCACTTTTTTGCACCTCTTCTTCCATGGCCTCTTCGTGGGTGCTTTGTGCCTGCCGCTCTCAGCCACATCGCTGTGGTGGTGCCTGGTGGTGTCAAGGACTCTTGCAGGCTTCTTTGCTGCTCTCTCTTGCTTGAGTGCAAGCTTTCTCGCCTTTGCAGTGACTCCGCAGGGGGAATTGCTCAATCTTCAGACATCCGTCCAAGGAGCGTATGGTGCAGGTCAGTGCTTGGGCAACATGCTTGCCTCGTCTGCGATTGTTTTCTTTCAAATTTCGGGCGAATCGCCCGGGCAGGTGCTAGCAGAAGGGGCAGCTCCAGTGCTGATGTTTACATTTGCCATCGCTCTCCTGCTGGCGACGAGTGTGCTGTTCGTGCCTCGTGCGCAACTGGCAGACCAAGTCCCACCAGTCGTGGATGGTGCGACGGAGTCAATCTCGAACACAAAACAACACTCCGAGCTGGGTAGCCTTGAGGTCTGCGAGCGAAAAGGGATCTTCCGAAATGCGGTGATCTATAACTTTGAGCGCACGTTCTCGGTGGCTTCAATTGAGGTGGCGACCACCATGATCTCTCAGGTGGAGTTTGGCTTCTCCACTGTCATGACAGGGTGGATATTTGGTCTCATCGCCATTGGCTCCTTGCTGGCCAATGTCATAGTTGCCTTCACACCTTCGAACACTGACTTGCGCTTCTTGGCTTTCAGCGGTTGCAGCCTATCCAAGTTGCCAAGGATGTCACGGGCTCCTGTTTGTTTGCGGCCCCTTGCGACGAACATGCTTGGACAACAACTCTGCTGTTAGCGCGTTTTTGGTGCAGTTGGCTGATGACTGTTGATGTTTTGCGTGTTTTCATGATGTGCTTAGTTCCGCGATGTTTAATGTGGCGGTGGCTGAGCAGAAGCACAAATGATGACAGTGTGTGTTCATCCCCTTGCCATTTCTAGTCATTATTGCTTTCCCAAGCTTGCTCCTAGGATTTTTTGTGGATGCTGATTTTAATATGTGTCCCTTTTTTTCCGCTTCTACAAGAACCCCTTGCAACTCGCGTTGGCTCATTGGATGTCTTCCAATAATTAAACTTGCAGTTGGAGCTAAGAGGCCTCAAGGAGTTTAGTCAGATTTTGCAGTGGCGACTCAATGTAGCCGCTTGAATTTGCTGGAGCCGCTGCTGAAACATGTCCAAACTTAAGAGCTTAGGCGTTTGCTCACCTGTCAAGGATTGTTCAGATGCTCACATCCGACTCCTCCACATCATGTTGAGTTTGCGTATGTTTGCGTGACTTTGGGTCCTACCACTCGCGCAGGGAGTCAATCGGTCATACTCACACTTCATGGAATGCTGCAAAAAGTTGTGTTTTGCTTTGTCATTCCATGGCCAGCTCGCTGATGATAAGTTCTGGGCAAGTAAATGTTGCATTTGCTGTTGTCGCGCCACGCCACAGGATAGAATGCCCCAAGCCACGTGTGGTGCCTCGGGGTGCTCATTGTTTGTTGTTGTTTTTTCTGGTGCGGGGACCCTACTTGGTTTCAGGGGGTGGTGGTGTGAGGTTATGGAACAATCTGAGGTATTTGTATGATGGTGTGCTTTGCCGCTGTGGGCGTGGTCACAACCCCATTCCTCCTGGATTGGTGGCCTTGGTGGACCTTGTATGTGGCAGACGCATTGATGATGACGATGACCAACGCAGCCAACGGCATCTCAGATGGAGTGGCTCTTCTTGCAGCAACCGGTGTGCAGGACGCGGCGTATTCATCCTGCACTTGTTTTGTGACTTGGGCCGTTTTGAATAGTTGACCCTGGTTGCCATTTGGGTTCCAACAAAGACATTTAAGTCCTGCAGGAGTTGTCCCGAGAGAGCTTTATCAACCAGAAGATGCTGAGCATGGCTGCGGCAAAGGTTATCGCTGCCCCCTTGGCCCGAGGCTTGCTGCCCTGGCTTGGTCGCAACGGCTATGGCGCTTTGCAGACCATTGTGAGTCTTGCTGGCTTTCTCGGCATATGGAAAATGTACTGTATGGCGGGATCGCGTGAACAACAGGAGAATTCGCAGAAAGAATAGACATATTCCTCCTGATCCTATTGACAAAAAACAATAAATTATGTTTTAATAAAAATTGGATTTGAATGATATATGAATTAGAGAATTAGTTATCAGATTTTAAATATTAAAACAATTATACAAATAATAATAATAAGAACAAACCATAACACACAACGAGGGTTCGGACGGAATATGGATTTCGAGGGGTAAGCTCAAAAGTTTGGAATGTTTGAGCGTTAGGAAAAAATGAATTTTGAGGAAATTATATTGTTAGATACAAAAAGGCATTGATAATATGATTTGACAAAATTGTGGTATCTTAAAATATATGTTTTTGTTAGTACGGCATTTTTAGTGGCTTTAGGAAATATATAAATATTTTGGATTTTAAGGATTCTAGGGATTTTAAGGAATTTAGGGATTTAAGGATTTTAGAGAATTAGGAATTTAAGAGATTGTGTGAGGTGTGAATTAATTATGTATGTTTTGGTTGGTTGCAATTTGTTGTGTAAGGGTTTGAAAGAAGATTAAAGAAGAAGTAGAAAAGAAGAGTTGTTTATTCGAGTATGTTTTATATATTTTTATAAATATTTATATTATTTTTTATATGTTTTTATATTTTTGTAAAGTTAGATGTTTATTGGTTTTTATATATTTATATTTGTATGTTTTTATATGGTGTTGGGGGATGATATTGTGATGTTGTGTTTTATTTGTAGTATATGTATATATGTGTGTGTTTGTGTGTTTGATTTGTTTTTGTTGTTTTTGTTATTTTTATATTTTTATATTATTGGAAAATGTTTAGGTTGAATGATATTTGATATATATTTTGTTAGTTTAAATTATTAAAAATAATAAAATTAACGAATTATTAAGTGTATAAATATTTGATAAAAAAAATTCTCGGTTTTGATTAAGTGTTTTAATTTTAATATGTTATTTTTATTTTATATTTTTTTCTAAACCGCATATTTAGGTCGCTATGTTGTAGCTACACGCTTGCATATAACGTTTTAGGTTTTGATTT